CGACGGAGCAGCGGGTGTCGGCCACTCTGGGGGATGAGGTTTGTCGGGAATCCGAACCAGGTAGCGCTTCCTTCTGGAAAAGGCGGCGGTTTCTGGGGGTTTTCCGAGGGCGTTTGCAATCAGAGACCTCTTGGAGACATCCCTGGGGGCTCAGGGGGCCTTGGAAGGAATGAGGGGACAGCGGGCGCACTGATCTCTAGAATGCCGTGGAGACTGGGGGCGGGGAGGATGGGGGCTTGCCTTAGAGAGAGGTATGCTTTTCATCAGATAATGACATTTTCGAAGGTTTGGGATAAAACGCGAATTTCAAAGAAATCATATTGGCTGGGGTTTCTGAGCTCCCATCACAGACCCTCTCATGGACCGTGTCTAGTTCCTTGCCCGGGGAAATTTCGGTGGAAATCTACTGTCCTGTACGTTGAGATAAATACCGATCGAAATGATTGAGAAGCAACTACAGAGTGTGTTTATTTTTCTGGGGAGGGAAATTTCATGCTTGTCGTAGGAAAGAAAGACACACGAGAAAGACGTTCCTGTGGGAGCACCTCCCATAACGTCATATACTTGCCGCTTGGGAGTATTTCCTATTAGTTCTGCTCTTTTTAACTTACCTGTTACAGTTTAAGCTATATGAGAGAGTTTTCAGTTCCTCATCGTGGATGAATGTCATTTTTTCTCCTCCCCACTCCAGTTCTGTGGAAGGGAGGTAGGGATGTTGGTACATATATATATTTTTTGTTTTTCAGTTGCGTTATTCTTTTTTCGCCGTCACTAACTTCCTAAATTTCAGACTAAAAAAAAAAAGTTCTTTCTGGCAGTCATCGCCATAGTTTATTTCCAGTGAAGACAATGATTTCTAATTCTGTAAAAGCAAATGTACATAAAACGAATACACACTGCAAACAGGACAAAAAGGAAAATAACTCAGAATCTTAAAACTTCAGAAAAAACCTTTTCTTTCCTGAAACTTTGCTGCTAGTATTAGTTTTAGACCTCCATTTTAGTATTAGTTTTAGATTTCTAAAAATAGAGCGATCTAAAACTAATACTAAATTCTTTAAAACTGGAGATGATTTCAAATCCAAAAAGTGGAGAGATTTTGAAACTAGGTTAAGTGGCTGCGTAAAACACAAGCATGAATCCTTAAAAGTAATGCATGCGTGCTTCCTTATTTAACATCTTTAACATTTTGCCAACAACTTAGAGACCAGGGGTTCTGCTTTGGAATCCTAAAATTTGTTAAAAGAACTCTTATTTGTTTATGTGAAAAAAGGGGACCAGTAATTGGCGTAATGGCCATGTCGCTGGACTCCCCTGTAGTCGATTACAGTTGGAGTCCCCGACCTGGTGGCTTAAACTCTCGCCGGGTGTGTACATAAGTGCCCAGGATCCCGAGAGAAGAATGGAGAAGGGATTGCGGCGTGCCCCCCCTCCCCACCGTGATTTCTCGCTTTTTGTCTCTCTGTCTCTCTCTTTCTGGCGAGTGCCCCGTACCCTCAAGCAAAAATCCTCTCAAAAAAAGAAAAAGGGGACGGCAAATGGCGAGATGGTTCTGTCGCTGCTGGACTCCCACATAGTCGACTTTGATTCTGTATGGGGATCGGGTGGCTTAAAACTCACGCCAGGCATTTGTGCCCCAAATCCCGAGAGAATAGAGAAGGTTTCACAGTGTGGCCTGGGGGTGAGTTCTCACTCTTTGTCTCTCTGGTGAGAGCCCTCACCCTTTGGCAAAAATCTCTCTTTAAAAAAAAAAAAAGAAAAAGAAAGTGTAAAGGGAAAAGGAAAGTTGGGTAATTTGATAGTTTTCTAGTGGTGGTAGAAGAACCTGGAAAAGAGGAAATGATTCTGGTTTAGAACCATAACCAATTAGTGTTTAATATGGAAAAAGCTGATTGAAAAAAATTGTTAAGTACTAAACTCAATTTTTTATCACATGGATTTAAGCACCTCACAAATTGTCATTTAATTTATTTTCTTTTTGCTTTGGATTGCTAGTATGATTTAAATTTTTAAATAGGGATGACTTTTTAGCTTTTTCATATCATAAAATATAAGAAAAACTGATGACCAGTTTTATGACCAAGATGAAGGACTTCATTGTATACACAAAACAATATAGTACAATATTTTTTTTCTTTTTGTGTCTGTAATTTGGATCAGTTATATTTTCTCTTTGTCTTTGTGATAATTAAGTTGGTTTCATTTTCTTCAGGACAGGACTCAACAATAATAACATACTTTATTAGATTCCTTTATTTAGATAAATTAACTATTGGAGCTTAATCAGTACAAAATGTACAAAAATACATCTGTACCTGTAATTCATCTTTATAAAATTATTTTCCCTGTGCTAATATAAAATACTAATTACCCTAAAAAGGAATTGTCTACCACCACCACTTGCAAAGCAGCATTGAAGTTGTTAGTGTATGTGACTGTGAGCACTATTTTAAAATTACTCTTTGGGAATGGCTTTGTTTCTAAGATAATTTAGAAACCTATGAGGTGAGCATCTCCTGTTTAATGAACTTTCAAATCATATGCTTGGGAAGTGTTTTGATTTTCTATTGCTGTTGTAACAAAATATCACAAATAGTGGTTAAAAGAAACAAAATTATTTCTTATACTTCTGGAGGTTGAAAGTCCAAAATATGTCCACCAGACATGTGTGTGTGTGTGTGTGTGTGTGTGTGTAAAGGGGGGAGATCTAAGGCATTTTTCTTGCCTTTTCCAGCTCATAATAATTATTTCTGCTGTCTGCCTTCAGCTTTCATTCTTATTATCTTCTCTCTGAATAATGCTTTGAGCAGGACACATTATATCAGAGTCCACCAAGATAATACCTGATATTCTTCCTCCAGGTTCTTAATCTAATTGTATCTGAAAAGTATCTTTTGTTATGTAAGGTTATATATTCAATTTTTGTTAGTTAGGTTATTCACATCTGGGGGGGGCATTATTGAGTTTACCGCAGGAAGGAATTTAAGGCCAACCAGACAAGCTTTTTTATTTTATACATTTTTAAATGGCAGCTTTGGAATTGGAGATTATATTAAGTGATATAAGCCAAACACAGAAAGACAGTATTATGTGTTCTCAGATGTGGAATCTAAAATGGTGGAATCATGGAGGCAGGGAATAGAATAATAGTTACCAAATGCTGGGGTTTGGCGGAAACAGGAAGATGGTAATCAGAATGTACAAAGCCTAGGTTAGATAGGGATTTTTTTTTTTTTTTTTTTTGCAGAGCATAGGGAATACAACTAGTAAATTAGTACTGTACAGTCAGTGTTGCTAAGAGAATAAGTCTCAAATGTTCTCATCCCAAAAAATGTCAAACATTTGCGGTGGTGAATGGATTATTTATTGTGATTTACTCATTCCATGTTGCACCAAAAATGGCTTTGTACCCCATGAATATATACAACTATAATTTTTCAATATATTATTTTAAAAATCTAATTCATTAAAAATTTTTAAATTTAAACTTTCTGGACAGTAAGGGTAACGTAAAAGTTTTGCAAAGATTAAGGGCTCTTTTTACAATTTCACTTTTTAACAATTACCATATTCTGGGCGTGGATATACAGCACTGAACAAAACGAAACCTTTGGGCCTCACATTATTTCATCCCAACACGAGAGGCTGATACAGAAAGTTAGGCTGTTGTAGTGAAAGCCAGTTTATCCCTCACCGTTTTACTCTTGTCTATGCCTCGGGCAGTGTTCTGGGTGTGGCTGGAGCTTGGCAAAAGGTTGGGAAATACAATGTAATTCAATTCGTACTGGAGAATGGACAGAACTGGAAGCAAACGACGGCTAGTTAGACGCCTGAGGTTTGTCCAAGAGTCTGCTTAGGGTAGAGAGCGGCTTCACAAATAGAATTTCTTTCCTTGAGAGCTTGTTTGGAGGTTCTAGCAGGGGAGCGCCCCTACTGTGTACCCTCGACGAAGAAGGCCCTCCTCTACCGCGAAGGTCGTCCTCTTCCACCGAGCGCGCCGCTTCGGGAGGGAAGCACGTGGAGCGGTCAGGGAGAAAGGGGATACCCGCCTCTCCAGCCAGATCAGCCAAATCAACTCTGGCGATCAATGGGGTGACAGATGTCGCAGCCACATTGCCCTCCCCCCAGCCAGGCCCTGACCACTCTGCTCTCTCTGGCAGGTCATGATGATGGGCAGCACCCGCGTGGCCGAGCAGGTGCTACTGCCCCTCTGCGA